TTTTTATCAATGCGAACATGTAAATATTTAACTGCTAATCCGTGGGTGTTTAGCCATTTTGGGCTTTCGTTCTTTTCTAATGCTTCGGAAAAACTTTTTCCAACTTCCGCTCAAAATACTTTTCATTGCTCGTCGGGGGCATTTTTGGTAAATTGGCTAATATTTTTGTAATCAGGTTGAGAATGGTCGGTCGCAATTTTTAGACTAGGAATAATTAAAATACTGTTTCCANTTTTGCTCGGAAAACTAAATGCTTTGCCTTCTTTAAATCCTCCTTTTGCTAAATGTTCTTCAAAACTCCCATAATCCTGCTTCATATTATTTAACTCCTCATTTTTAATTACCACAAACTCAAAATCTTTATCCANNGTNTTTTNNGANACCGGCACACATTTTCAAAAATAGGCGGATAACTCAGTCGTAGCATCATTTAAAGCTTCCCGAAATACTTTTAAAAATTCAGTATTTTTCTCCTTTAAAAGGTTAATAAATTCTTGAAAAGACAAATTGCCAGNNNCTTCTTCTGAACNNAATGTATATTTAATTGNATTATTATCTATTTTAGTTTTGTCAAANTTGTATTTCATATTNTTTTTTTNACTTAATTATATTAAAATTTTGCTTTCGGATACTTCTTTATGTTCTAGTTTTTTGGTAACGGGGGTGGGACTTGAACCCACGACCTTCGGATTATGAGCCCGACGAGCTAACCAACTGCTCTACCCCGCGATATTATTAAGTAGTTTTAATATTATTTTTTAAGTTTTTTGATTAATTTAGTTAAGATTAAGCCGATTACAACTACCAAGATAGTTATCCCAATAACTATAAATGCTATTTTAGCCGCACTCGAATTGTTTGATTGAATTGAATTTTGGCTTTTTGCTAAAAATTTTACTATATCTTCATTTTTTCAAGCATGTCCTAAACCCGGNCGATTTTTAAACTCTACATTATAGCCTCTTTCTTTTAGAAGTTCATANGATTTTTTGCCAGTTCAAAACGGAANCCAAGGGTCTTTGGTATTATTAATAAGCAAGATGGGAGTTTCTTTGTTTTTANNAGAAGGGTTAACTAATAANTTATCCCACCGGGGTAAAAGTCCGCACAGCGAAATAAACCCACCTAACTTATGTTGAGAAGTTAGAGCCATTGCCAAAGTTAATAAACCACCTTGGGAATAACCGGCAATGAAAATTTTCTCGGGCGGAATACCAGCCTTGATTTCTCCCGCAATGATTTCATTCACATAATTAGTGGCTCGTCCCAGTTGAGGATAGTCTAAATGGATTATTTTATCGGCTTCCTCAAAATTTTTACGGGGTGGATTGTTGGGAACTACATCACTTTCCATGATTTCCCAAGCATCGCCNGTAATATTAATTCAGCCTTTTTCCTGTCTGCCGGGAGCCGGTCGCGAGCCATGCCACATATCATATTGTAAAATTGGGGAATTAGGATAAATGAATTTAGTGTTGGGAAATTTTTTTTCTAGTTCGGAAAAATTNCCGGTGGCTCCATAAGTGCCGTGGAGAAAAATCATGACCGAACTATACTTGTTATCTCCTGTCTTATTGGTGTTTCCCCGCTCATTGTCAAACCAGTCAATTAAAATAGCTTTTCCTTTGGTTGGAAATCCTTTGTTAAACATTAATTTTCGNTTANCCTTATCTAATTTNCTATATTCTTTATCAANCTGAGNCGAAGGTCAAATAATTTGTCCGGTTTCCTCGTTAATCAGCAAACTTCAATTTTGTAAGTCTCAATTAATAAGTTTTTTGTCACTCCTTTCTCGCCATTTCTGCTTCGAACTTCTAACATAATTAAAAACTGCTTCAACCGCTTCGGAATAATTGGACTCCTCTAACTTAACTATCTCCACTTTATCCTTATTTTTTTCCTCATAAAGCCACTCGTGTAGTTTTTCCGGGTCAAAATTAACTTCCTCTCAAACTTTATCGTATCTTTCTTTACTGATTTGCTCTTTGGTTTTTTCCTTAAAACGCCCGCCGGAACTTAACTTTTGGCGAATTACTGCTAATTTTTTGTCAATTTGTATCTCACTATCTTTAATTCGAATAAAATCTCCTTTTCGCGTGATAATTCACTGGTCGGGATTAGCGATTATTCTTTCTTTCATTATTAGTATTTTTAACCAAAAGNANTTNAATCAAANTTTTTNCTATGGTTNCCGCTCCCCGTTTAGTTTTAAAAATAAGTTATAGATGAGGAAAGAAATAATCACCTATTATCCTCACCAATTAGTTAAACCAATCGTAATTAATGACCGGATAATTAAGCGAATTGATATTAGTTCCCATTGTGATAAACATTT